CTTCCTTATCATCACATCCGCCTATTTTACAGCTCTTTTGTACAGCCATGACAGCATAAAAGTTTCTGAGACCAAGCCAATTAAGTTTTTTTATCTCCAAATATTAGAGCTCCTTGAATTATTCAATATGAGTGACTCTGATGCCTTTATACTTGTCAAATAGTACCACAACTCATATGTGAGTTACAATCAATAGGGTTGTTCACAGAGTAGGGTAATCCTCAGTGGAAGGCTATCAGAATTGTGCCCTATGGACATAGTTTCATTTCTGTGTGGTCAAAATCAATCCTAAAATTGTTAGACAAATATCATGCACGTTAAAATTCATGAAACATGAGCTTTGAAGAATTTTCCTTAATACCTTGTAGCTTTCTAGAAACTCCTCAAGACATTAAAAATAACAGCAAAATTGAATTCATTGGACCAGTTCCATTAGAGTATTTAACCCTAACTAATTCTCTGTATCTTTCCTCTTTGGCTATGCCTTTGGTTGAACTACACCTCCCATAATCCAAAACATTCTCCTCTGACTGGGCACATCTACATGTGCATTAATGCGCTGTAGTTACTGTGCATTAAGTTTGGTACCTGTAGTTACAGGTATTAACTCAATGGGTGCATCTACACCTGCCCCTAAATGTGCATTTGGTACTGTGTACTAAATGGCTACGCAGTACCTGCTGATACTGTGCAGTCCCAGCAGTGCACAATTATTTTTAGATGCTATGAGCTGTAGCAACGAACTACAGCAACACAGCTCATCACTACAGCAATGTAGCATCAGCATCACAGTTTGTGCCTATCCACACTACATCGCCATACCGATGTAGCATCTTGTGTAGATGCGCCCAATGTGTAGTAACCAGCACTATTGCGTAGTAGCACTGGTGCATGCCTTTTTAGTGATGCTGATACACAGTAGACTGATTCTACTGCACATTAATACGACTTTTGCAGTGACGCACTAATGCGCAGTAGAATTAGTCTACTGCACATTAGCATCTTGCGTAGATGCACCCAGTGAGTAGCAGGGTGCATCATGAAAGTTGTGAAGTATCTTCAAGGTTTCTGTGACTTTTATGACTTCCCTAACAAAATTGTAAACTTGTCATTGAGTTGTGTCACAGCAACCCGGGAAGAAGGCTGTAGAAAAGCGCAGCAATGACTTCTCAATGATAGGTAGCTATACAGTGTGAAAATCAGGCAGTGAATGAGACCAGACTGTGAAGTGAAGAAATGAAAAAGGCTGTTGCTGGAAGCTCTCAGGAAAGAAGTGCTTTGCATATCTATTGTCTGATAAAGGTGCGGATGCAAAAACAATGTATTATGAGGTGAGTTAGGGTGTGTACGTAGAGTGCATCAGTTACTCCACTGTAACTGCTCATGTGTTTGTGAAGTAGCTTGCCCCACTTTCACTGAGGAAGTGTTGGCTGAGTGGACACAGGCAATTACCAAAGAATAGCTGCATACAGAGCTATCCCTAGGGTACAGTGAATCATGGCAACCATCCCGAGCCCCGTGCTTTGGGGGAGCCCCGTGGAGCTGGGCAGAGCGGCCACAGCCCCTTCCGCAGGGCCCGCCTGGAGCTGGTGGTTCAGCCCTGTGCTGCCAAAGAAGCACAGAGACCCTCCCCTCTTTGCGGGGGTACCACAGCCCCATGCAGTGTTAAGGTGGCCCCGCACGGGCTGATTTGCCTTGGGCCCCATACCTTGCTAGGGTTGGTTCTGGCTGTATCCTGTAAGTACACATCCTAGCTCACAGTAACTTGTTCATGTATGCTCCCTCAGTTACACCTCAGGTGTTTGCTTTTCCATCCTTACTTGCCATCTGCAAACCTAATCCTTCCCTATTTCATTCATACTCTTGATCGTATATCTACTTGGTTAACATCTAATCTTTTGATCTATAATTAAGTAAAGTTTTGAGACTTCTTTTCTGCACCAATAATGAAATCTACCAGATTTCCTTCTTTTCATTAGTTTTAACATGAGTTGTACAGCTAAATCTCCAAGTTCACTTTGAAAATCTGTGTGTGGGCATGCATGGATACACGTAATATGCACATCATAATATGCACATCATAGTTATATTGCAGGTTTATATTGCACTGTTGAAAGAGTACAGTTAGTGATTACAGGAATCAGCAAGGAGAGATTTAGTCAGAGCTCCCCTGGATTGTCTGTGATATAGGGGATCTACATATTAAGTACATGTGAGAAATCAAGATTATCTTTGGCCATAACTTGTTGTTACTTCCCTATTATGTTTATTTGTTCTGCATGGTATGTTTTCCAGTGAGCTCACGATTAAGTGATAAATCAAACAATGATTACCTCATAATACATTGTGTGATTACTTCTGCTTGTATTGTGGAAATTCCTTAAGGTTTGTCCATACCTATTTGTGTTACTAATTACAATTTAAATATAGCATTCTTAAAATAGCAATCATACTTCTCTTAAACTTGAGAATTATATCCAAAAAAACTATGCTAAAAGAGCATTATGTTAAGAACAAGCACTCAAAATCTAAGAAAAGCCAGAATGAATGCATTTTCATTATGATTCAGTCTATATTTACATCCACACATAATATTTTTGCTCCATTTAGTCCGTAGGAAAAAGCTGCTTTGGGAATAAATCGGGCTTGAAAAAGACTCCTGTCTGTAAGATCTTCACTGCATTTGTTGCAGAAGTTGGAAAACCTGTACTGAGGCTGGCACAGGATTGTTGGAATAGAAAGGAAGGTCTCATGGTTAAGACAGCAAATTCTACCTTTAAAAATGTAGTTACCTGTCTGTGCGAGCTCCTGTGTGATGCTTGGCAAGTCACTTAAAACAAACTTTAAAAAGTGGTTATGTATTTGTGTGTGCCTCATTTTATGGATGTCCGACTTGAAACTCTGGGGTCTGATTTGCAGAAGCGCTGAGCATTTGCAGCCTCATCTGCAGCGACTTGGAATTCCACTCGGAACATAAGGAGTGATGTAAGTACTAAATACTGGGAATATTGGATTGTAGGTGCCTCCGACTGGTCACCTGAAATCAGTGGATACTTCTCTGACCCTGTCTCTCTGTGCCTCAGATCCTCCCTTGTAAAATGGAGATACTACCCTATACATTACAGAGGGGTGTTTTGAAAACAACTACCTTATTATTTGTGAAACAGTCAGATGATGTGATGGTGACTGCCATGAAAAAAACTTATGAGAGAACTAATAATTTTGTCTTCAGAGCAGTTTAAATAGTATGCAGTAAATGAGGCCAATCACACCTTCAGCAATTAAACAAAATACTGAATACCTGTTCATAAAGCCAGCACCAGCTATCTGAATGAGTCCTAAAGCAAATAAGTATGTCATTTAATATAAGCAGGCAAGCTTCTTTGGGTAGATGTGGTATCTTTTATTAGACCAACTAAATAGTTGGAAAAAAGTTATTTGCAAGCTTTCAGGCACAAACACACTTCATCAGGCATAGGGAGACTGCTGGTGTTACATGTTCTCCAAGGTAGAAAAGAAGCTAATTTACAACATGCAGGTCTGTGAAAATGCAAATAAGTGGAAGTCAATTAATAAAAAGACTGTATGATAGCACATATGCACAAGAGGGCTGAATAAAGACTGCTGGCATTTTCTAACTTTTGAATATTTGACTTTGCAACATTAATATTATTCTTTTAATGCAGTGCCTTGTGTATGCAATTTCCTAGTTTTTTAAACAATTAAAACTGAACATGTAAACATTTTATCATGTGACAGCACATCAGTTAAACCTAATTAACAAGCAGAGCTGGAAAGAACCTTTAAGTCCATCACACAGACCTCTGGCACTTAAACTAAGCATGGAATAACACCAGAGGAAGATGGTGTGTTTTGCTTGTGGATTTCCGAGAGATTTGCCAACAGCAAGGGAACAGTGGGATCCAGGGATCTGGGGGGTTCTTTGCCAGGCTCTGGATATGAATGTGTTTTAATGGGCACAGAACTGAAAACAGGGTCTTATAATAGAAGGCTCCAAGACCTACCTGTAAAAGACCATTATATACAAGTTAACTGAAACCAACTGTATAACACAAGTTTTAAGTTAGGGAGAATCTTCCCTAATAGTTTATTTTAACATTTGCATTTTCTTTGCAACCTCTGCCTTCTCTTTTTGAAAGAAATGGTTAGGTTTTTCACTCTGTAACAGGGGCCAGCAACCTTCAGCAAGATGCAGGCTGGAATAGCCTGGCACCCATTTGATACAGGTTGGGTAGCTTTGGCAGCACATCAGCAGTGGAGTCTGGGTCTGTGCCCATGCCAGGGTCAGGCAGCTGGAAGTATTGCCTATACCACTATTTCCCCCAGTCTCTGGCTGTGACTCAGATGCTGCCTCCAGCTGATGGGGATCTGCAGTGGGTTTGGGCAGGTGGAAGCTGCATCCTCACTGCCACTTCTCCCCATGCCCCTACTTCCCAGCTGCAGTGCAACTCCCCACTAGCTTGCCCCATGCTTTAGCTGGGGCAGGGGCTGGGGGAAGTGGCAGTGGCAGCGGCAAAGGCATAGCTTCCAGCTGTCCAGCTGTACTGTAGCTCCCTGTCTTCTGGCCCTGGTGTGGGCACAGGAATGGGAATGGGCACAGGCACAGGCAAAGTCAAAGCCAAAGCCATCTGGGTCCATGGGCTGTATCCAGTCCCACAGGAGCATGGGGGGCTCCCCAGCATGCTCAGCAGCAGACTTGGAAGTGGACCAAAAGCACTTTCAGTCCACTTCTGGGTCCACCAGGGAGCCCACTGGGGGCCCCCTGTGCCCCCCCTGGCTCAGCGACTGGTGCCTCCTGGGTCAGGGGGGGACACCTGGGGTCCCTCCATGGCTGATCGCAGAGCTGGAGGGTTGGGGGGTGGGGAGGGCCCTCAGCGTGCTCCCTGGCAGACCTAGAAGTGGACTGGAAGTACTTCTGGTCCACTTCTCGGTTCGCCGCTGAGCCTGTGGATGGCCCCTCTGCATTCCCCAGCATCGCAATGATCACAAGCTCTGTCTGCTACCTGAAGGTATGTAGAAAAAACTTTTAAAGCTGTTTCTATGTCCGAATCACTGATTCTCCAAATCAGCATTGAATCTTCAGATTTGGATTCGGCCGTATCAAATCAGGGACAGTGATCCAAATCAACGAATCAAATCACTGTCCCTGATTTGGGCCGAATCCTAATCTGAATCGAATAGGCCCCGCTTTGCACACCCCTACTATATTGTATGCCAACCTGTTGCTGTCCAGTAGGGTAGTGCTGTTTCACACAGCAGTAAGGCTGTAACAACGACACTGATGATGCTGATTCTCCTGTGTAATCATGTCTCTCAGTAAGAGCTCTGGCAGTTCAAAGCACTGGCTCTGCCACCTGTCAAGCTGACTGCGTGAAGGCTTACAGCTACCCCTCCCTTTTACGCCAGGCTTGAGAGGAACTGATATGGGCTGACCCTCAAGCTTCCTGCCTCCTTTCTTCAGGATTAGCCTGACACGAGCCAAGTCAATACCTGTCTGCACTCAGCACTGTTTCACCAGCATTGCCTAAAGCTTGAATCCCAAATCACTATAAAGACTTTAAAGTATAATTTAAAATTCATCCATAATGAAACAAAACAATAACAGTCATTGTTTAACAGTTTCTCTCTCTCTCTTTTCCTTTTTCCTTTTATGAATTCTCTTGAAAAAACAAAATGACCAAATTAATGGTTAGCAAAGGGGAGGCAGGGGGGAAGGGGCTTTTTGTCTCCCAGCTTGGAAGTATGTCACTGACGACTGCTGCACACCTTCACATCCCCTTCCTTTGAGCAGGAAAATGACAAATAGAATTAGTTAATGGATAAACAGCTCCCTTCTTCCAGCTCTCTGTTTTGCTTGTCATTGGTGCTCCAGCAGCCACTCATCTCTGCCTCTCTTCATGGTAGGTGACACCCTGGTGAAAGTAACTACGCATACTCTGCAGTACAGCTTACCCCATTGGCACAGCTGCACCATTGATAAGAAAACAAAAAACCAAAATTCAGATAAAACACTTGCAGTGTTGATATACCTCCGGAAACCTCTAGGATGATTTCCTAAATGAAATTCCATTATGACTTCAGGAGTCTCATACATCAGGAGAACAATTTCTGCTGTCATCTAGAAGATAAGTATTTGATCCTGTAGCTCATCATTTCCGAGTTATGAAAAAACACTAATTAGGCTGTTAACTATAGGAACTACTAATAAGTTGAGAGCTTGATTGAAAAAGCAGAAAACTACTACAGCTCAAAACCCAATCCTACTGATGTTTTCCTCAGTGTGAGTGATGTTAATAGCTTTCTCTGTGAAGTCCTTCCACACTGTAACGGTATTTCCTAATATTTGTCTTTGGTGTTGGGGTAGTATCTCCCCAACTGCAATGGAGAGAATGCTCTAAACATCAAGGCTATAGGCTACTTATTACTAGCTTAATTCTCATGCTGTACCTGAGTTCCCGCTGACACCTGGAGGTTGCCATGACTGGTGGAACTGTAGCACTGAAGTTCCTCATTGACTTTTGCTCTGTCCTAGCACTGATAGACTACAATTTTTCTTCTTAAACTCCTATAGCTCAGAACTTTCCTCCTTCCTCCAGCAATACAACTGGCTGTGCATGTTTCAGCTCCAAATATACATGTTGTAGGATAACTCTAAAGATTTGTAATGCTGTGGACTATGTAAGTCTTTCAGTACAACTGATACTGAGATGTATTGAAGAGGATAACTTGTAATGCCTGGCTAACATCGAGTATCAGGGGAAATATACACCTACTTGGGAAGTTTAGAGAATTAAAAAAACCAAGAGGAATTAGAAGAGAACAGCGAAATAATAAAGTGTGGGGAAATCCAGGTAAAAGGGCTTGTTCTCTTATTACCTGTTCATATTAAGGAGCAATCACCTCTATCACTAAAAAAATCTCACTTTTGTGATGTTGTCCATCCTTGCCAGCCTGAGGCACACCTATCAGAGACAAAAACCATGATCATTAGTATTGTTGCAGCAGTGCCAAAGAGCCTCCATCATACATTTTAATTCCATTCTGGTAAAAAAGTGGTTTCTTTCTTAAAAGAGGATATTCAACCCAGTTAATGTGATGTATGAAAGATCTCCGCAGTAATGCCTTGCACTGGGTTTACATTTGGATATTTTGAAAAACGTAGCCACAAAATGCCAAAGGGGTCTGGGACATTTGGAAGAAGAATGTCTGAGTCCCAGGTAACTTATCTGGTCCTTGTAGCAAAAAGGACCACAGCAGCAGTGCTCTGTCAAATTCTTCTTGGATCTTGCTTTCTGCAGTCCTTGCAGGCATGAACTATCAGTCTGCTGGCGTCAGTTCTACCCAGCTCCTCCTCAGCCCCCCCTTCCCTCCCCTGCCACCTGAAACCTAAAAGTAACTAAGACATCATTCTGTTTGTACTGTCTCTGTCTAGTTGTACTGTCTCTATCTAGTTCCATCTCAATTTCTTGTCCCTGAACAATGGAAAGAGCTGTTTTAGCTGGCTCTGGCTCTGCTGAAATACATTGCATCTGGTCTATTCTTTAAAGCATATTTCATCAATGCAACTTTTATTAACATCAGACATATTTAAGTAATTACACAAGGAGAAAAAAGGCAGTTGGTAGGTCAGACCTCATCTGCTGCAAAAGAAACAAAATCGGGTAACTAGGCATGATGAGGTTTTAAACAGTCAGCATTTCTGTTAGCCCAAAGCCTCTGAATTACTGAACTTTGTCTCCAATGGATACAAAAATGTCAACAAATTACATAAAACATTTTGCACCAAGGCTTTTCCCCATGTTTTGACCAGTACTAATAATTAATTTAGTGTGGCCCTCTGGTGGCATCAGCCAGAACATAATTTTGCAGAGACTGGAAAAAATCATTTGGACTAGAATAGTACAGCCTAGCCTCTTTGCTATCAAAGAGCTCTCTTTCTCATTTCTTGTTCTCTGTGACTTTGTGCAGTCTCAGGAGAGAACAATCTTCAGAGTGCTATATATATATCTACGCTATCAATTATTGTTATTAACTCAGACTGAAAACACAGGTCAGAGACTATGCCTTCAAGTGTCAGGGACATGTATGACTGATTATTAGCATAGGATAATCACCTGTTAATATATGCTAATTGCGGCTGCATACCAAAATACTCGCTGCAAAATACATCAGGCCAAAGTCATGAGAACAGAGCGGCCTGATTGCTTCCATTGGTGGTGGCCCTCCACAGCCTGTGTCCTCTCTCTCACCCACCTCTGCACAGACAGGGTCAGCTTTGCAGATGGCGTGGGGCAGCTCCCAGCTTGACTCCTTCTCCCACAACCGTGTTCTTCAGGGCTTGGCTCTAGCTCTTGTACAGACAGGGACAGCAAGGCCAGCGGCAGGCAACCTCTGCCTTCATGTTTTGGCTTGCATGACCTATGCGCAGCTAGCTGCAGACACAGGTACCCCACAGCCAAGCCCTTTTGTGTGCCCCTGCCTCCCCGGGCCTAACCCCCTCCACTGGACATCCTATAACGTGCCCAGCGCTGGTCCAGCGTGGCACGCACAGAAGCCTTCGGGTTTTTTCGCCTTCAACATCCGTGGCAGCGGAGAAGGAGGCCTCGAGTCCGGGGGTGCACCTAGACTCTTGGGGTCCCCGGTGGGGGGGGGACACTTTTGGTATGAGTCTGCCCTTCGCCAGAGATAATGGCAACAACAATCATTCTTTCCACCATTTGTGGG